TGCATTCTGTTTTTAATTATAGGCCATAGATCCTTATTGGCATCACATTCAATAAAATGATATATGTCTTCTTCTTTGTTATCATTACACCTGGGACAAACAAAATCTTTGTATATATCTGAGTGGTACCTATAGGAAGAAGTTTAGCAAATAGTTTAATAATAAATATTAAATGCTAATGTTTTTTAACTGAAATACAATTAAATCCTTTATATCTATGAATTAAGTTCCAAGTTATGTTCCAGGCAATTGGTGTTTCATATCCATTGGTTTTTAGCATTGACCATTCTGCTGCCACTCTAGTATTCATTAGGGTTTTGATAAATTTTCTTAAGTTGTATTCAATTGGAATCTGCTTAAAAATTGGAAAAAATCTGACTGCCCTATTGCTATAGTTAAACCTATTGTTAAAGTAACATCTGCTGTTACTTGTATTCTTAGCTAAACCATCTACCATTTCATTCATAATATCTCCACTATGTCCTTTAACTTTCACTAATATTAGATCCATCTTTTTTTCTTGTAAAAGAATATCTATCTTGAGTAATATTAAAGAATTAGACTGCTTCAATAATTTTCTGCCCGATTTGTTATGTTGGTTGTTTATCATGTGTATGGCGCTTTGACTATCTGTGTATATCTTGATTTTTGCATTTATAGGACCTGTGAGTAATGCTAGAAATATAGCCACTAATTCTGCACGTGTAGATGAAGGCCATAGTGATATATTTGCTTGGGCTGACAAAGCAGGTTCCTTATTAACACAAAACGCCGCACCCATGTCTGTGTACACTAAATTGGGATCTTGTTTACCCATTGTTGTAGGGGTGCTTGGCCTGAACGAACCATCTGTATAATATTCTACCATTGTTCTCTATGCCAGTATATTTCTAATATCCATTAGTTGCGTTTTCAAGTTATCATCATCTATCCATCTGTGAATCCATATGTCTAGGACCATCGGTAGGCTAATTATGGGATTTGAAGCTGATGTTGGCAACCTGTCATCAGGTATTGAGACGTTAAATTGATGGGTTGATGACAGCCATTCACTAGGAAAACTCTAGCCGCACATATTAGATTCTTTATCTAATATTGCCACTTTACAGCAGTAAGCTGGTATGGATCGTCCCATGTCCTACCAGCCAATTGTTCCATTATCATTATATCCTGGACGATAATTCACTATAATCCCCTGTTCATGACGGCGTATCTTATTAATTTTGCCTAATGACCATACGTCTGAATCAGCCAGGGGTTCCCGAATAAAAATAACTTGTTTGTGACGCGCGTCTGGTATAATATCCATTAAAAAGGCCTAATGATCAACTTCGGCTATTTCCATATCATCAATTTTTATCATATTATCTATTCTGGATGTGCACAAATGGGCCACATCATGATACCATCTAGCTACCCTTTCTTGTACCGGGAGTAATGCTAACCTACGGTATTGCTTCCATGTCATAAGATATATACCTCTAATAAATAATTGATCAATATAGAATATCGGATAATGTGAGCTTTGGTTAATTCAGAATATATATTTTGTAAGCTGATACTGTTTAAAGAACTTTAATAATGGCTCTTTTCCTCATGTAACACTCCAGGTTGATCTATCAATCAGGTCCATTGCCATTGCTATATCGAGAGCTTTAGCTATTACTAATGCATTAAATGAGACGTTTTTCCTAGTTTGAGGTTTTATCCAAGGCATTACGTGAAGATCACAGTCAAAGATCAGATCTGTGATGAGCGATTTAAGCTACGCGTCTCTGAGTCTGATATGTGTAGATATCGCTGCATGTAAATCACTATTCAGTCTAATCGTCAAGTCCGTTATAGTATTGATACAAAATATTTTCCATGGATGGTCCATGCCGAGACACCCCTCATGAAATATTAGTGATGAAGGTGTGTTCTTAGGTAATTTCAACCAGTTTTTAACTAACTTCATTACTGGGGCGAATACGTGATTCCAATCTTGCTCTGTCAATGTCATGATTTGAGCTATATACATCAATCTGGGTATTAATACTTTATTGATTAGGTAAATACATTGACCAGCTGGAACGAATTTCCTACAGACTGTATCGCAAAAATTTTTTATTGTCGCGGATAGGTGTTGCATCCATCTTTTCCTATTCGGTTTGTTAAAGAACCAGACCCCAAGATACCTTATTTCATTGTCTGTGGCTTGAACTATGGAACGATCCTGACCTAATTCAATAGTTTGTTCTTATCGTTCTACTGTTGGATTGATGATTATCATTTCCGACTTCTTAGTGTTGATGTCGATATCATTAATCAAGTAGAATTCATTTGCTATATCTACTATCTTTTGCATCCTAAATTTTGAGGATTCTAGAAATACCGTATCATCTATATATGCGCATACAGGAACTTAAAGTCTGTATTACGTCCATGTTTTAGGATCATTAATATCATTCGGCCAGTTAACTTTCATTTCATATATGCTATCTTTGGTTTGTTGTATTCTTACTAAAAGCGGATCATAGAAAATCCTCCATAGTAGTGGAGAGAGTGCATCGCCCTGATCAATTCCGTCGTATCCAGTGAACCCATCACTTAAACCATACGCAGTGGCTACTCTAAGGGATCTGTGTTTGAAAAGGGCTATAATCCATTCAACCAACGATGCCGGAATGTCAATACAAAGCATGGTTTATTTTAAAACATCTAACCCAACTGAGTCAAACGCCTTTTTCATGTCCTGTGTGAGGACCCATAGTTCCTTTTTATTTTCCCTAGCATCCTCGATAAAATTGTTAACTAGGTGTATTGGTTCGTTTGTGCATTCTTTCGGTAAACCGCAACAGTTGTAACCCTGAAGTACATTATATCGTTTTATTACATAACTCAACCTGTTCGTGATCATCTTTGTAAAAGTTTTTTGAAAACAATCTAACAATGCAATAGGTCGAATATTCAAAATGTTGTATTTAAAGTTGATGGACTTAGGTATGGGGAGAATGATCGATGTTTTCCATGTCATGAGTACAAGTTTAGTTTGTAGCGTCAAGTTTCCGAATTTGACCAAAAGGAGGACTAATTCCTCGGGTAATTGTGCAATAATTTTATAATTAATACCAGACAACCCTGCAGCCAACTTTTTATTTAGTTCTCTAACTGTCTTGTTCCATTTTTCTTTAGTGATCTTCTCTATTGTAGATTCTATTATTTCTTTGAATTTACCTGTGAGTTCGTAAATTTGTTGCCAAAGCGGTGTCATTGTTTCCAGTAGAGTGTTTCTTTTCCTAAACATTCTCGCGAAATCATTGTCCACTGCTTTCTTAACTTCACCCAGTTCTGTAGCCAGTCTCTTAGTCGAAATTCCTGGTTCCTCATTTACTAGCACCTTATCTATAATTATATTATTGTGAGTGTTTCTATCTAATAAGTTTGACAGCCATGTTGTTTGATCTTCTTGTGTAATTTCTACTCGTTTGTCTAAATATACACTTTATTAGATTTTACATATTTCCAGATATAGTATTAATTAATTTACTAAAATTTGCAAAATATTTAATTAATTATTTAAGAATAATAAAAATTATAATTCTAATTTAAAAATCTTAAAAAGAAATTAATTAGATTCAAAATTAATCAATTGGATTATTAAAAAGGATGTCTATAAGAAAAAAAATTTAATAACAATTAATATTAGGCAATAATTTTCCTTTTTCCCTTTTCCTTTTTTCTTTGCTATGCAAATTTACATCTGGATTAATTTTATATTAAATGAATAGGTGTTTTGGTTGGATTTAATTTTAGATATTTTATGTGCAATTTTTATTAATAAAAGTATTGATATAAGTTCTTCATATTTAACAAATTAAAAAAAAATTAAAAACTAGTTTTAAAAAAAAACTAATTATAAAAATTAATAAGAGTATCTAAACTGTTCTTCATTTTATACCAATAACCAATTTATTCACTTTATTAAGTATTTGAAGTTTTGAACAACCTACTTCCTATGGTTGACAATTTACATATAAAAAATAATGCTTACAATTAACTACTTTATCCACCTTTATACAGAAGAAAACAAATTAATATTACATTTAGTTATATGTAAGGGAACTGAATAAGGATTCACTTTAATAGAGCAGGAAATCACAGAAAAGATCATGAAACACATTAAGAAACATTTGAAACATGCTACTACCTTTTTACAAACTTGAGAAAAAATCATTTTTGAATACAAAGATGCCACTCTACCTAAACTAAAAAAATGTAATTATGTTAAATTAACACAAGGCCTTATTTCTAACACTATTTTGTCCAAAATAAAACAATATACTTCAGGCAAATCCTTTAAAGATATTGCTGGGAAGATAGTTCACTTATTTCACAATGTATTTTGCAAATACATTTGAAAATCATGCTGTGAAAAAATGATACATGCTAAACAAGAAGCTGGCATCACTAAATCTATTAAAATGACATCAACTCCTACTTCTTCCACATACACAGATGGGTTAAATAGATATATGTTGCTCCAGTCAACCATCAACTGACACGAAACCATAATTAACTGCATGACCAGATGCAAGAATCACCTAACTGACTAATCACCAATGGATGCAAGCAACCATGGAAATCAAGAAAATCTTTTGCTTAATTGCAGTGCAGTGGGTCTTGTAATCTACCAGGCATAGATATCAGGGCAATTTGCTAAAATGGTGCATTTCAAACCTACGTGATTAGCCAATATGATCATCCAACAGTGCACATGTAGGGTTCCAATAAGGAATGACGAATGGTTTACAAATTAACAATATTAGTTTAGTTTTATAGTTTTTTACTTTTGTATAATCACTAGCATTATTCTAATAAATTTGTAAATGTACTGCGGTTAGCAAAAAAAAATAAAATTATAAACCTTACTCTTTTCTTTTTTTATTTTAGTTTGTTGATTAAGTAAAAAATACCAATAATACATAATTAACAAATAAAAATCAATTTTTAAAGACAATGCAATATAGATAATTTCCGGTCTATTACGTCACATAAAACTATCCGAGATTTATACTAGTTTTAAATAATTCATCTTTACATCTTGGAAACACGTCATTGTTGTAAATTTCCATTTCATCAGGAGGAATACGCGACAAAACAAAATTCGACACAATATCATGTGATCGATCATCTATTTCGCTTGGGGGTCTTCCTATACCAATTCGTAGTCTTAGAAATTCCTGAAAATAAGTAAAAATCATATGAAATTAATTTATAATTAATAAAAGCAATAAAAACAAAATTAGAAAATTATTACATCAGTTTTCAAATGATCAATCACTGATTTAATTCCGTTGTGACCACTATGAATTGAAAAATATTAATGTTTAAATTTTGATTATTAATTCTTTCCCTTTTTTACATTACTTTGCACTGCCACCATTTTTTATGCTGAGTTTGCCGAGTTCACGTTGCATATCATCATGTATGATTATAATATTTGAATGCGAAAACCCAAGTTCTCGTGCTATTTTAATTGTCAACGATTTATTAATTACTATTTAACAAGTAAATAAAATGAAACTTTCAAAGTACAAACATGCTTTTGAGACCGATTTCCCGCTAACATTCATAAATAATAAAGGTTTCATCAATGTCAATTTTAAGGGAACGAAGCCGGGCTTTGGTTCAAGATTTTTGAGTTTAAGCGTAAGTGTAGAGATTGAAGTAGAAGTCGAGGATATTGTTTGTGCATTCAGCAATCTCGATGATAATTGAAGTAAAGAAGGAGATCTCGAAGAATCGGATAATAATGGCAAATCGTTTGCTGAAGGAAGATTAACACTTTGAATTACATTATCCTCATCTTGTGCGATAGTATCACTGTTAATGATGTTTGCTTTATTCTCTTTATTTTTTCTCTTCTTTTCTTTCTTAGTAGATGGGTTTAAAGATTGAGAAGAATCAACATACACTGTTGTTGGTTGTGTAAGATATGCATGGGTTGATTCATTTTTTGACCAGGTGAGGTTTAATTGTGATGCTAGATAATCTAAAAGAAGCAACCCAATGCTATGCCTTGTTTGTGGGAGCGTATAATTTCCCAAGCCAACTAACTGAATATCGAATCCGTGACAACATTCGTATCAATTCAAAATTTAAACAAGAATTGAATTGGTCAAAAAAACCTACCAACACTCGTTTGGGTACCATTTTAGAGAATTGAGATTCAACACAGTCCGGCGATATCATGTGATATTAAAACCGCTGATAATCAATTTTTTTTTTTTTTGAAATCTCATTATCTATATACTGTATGTTTAATTCCGAAGGAACAACACAAAGATCGGACGATGAGGCTCCTGAAGTGGTCTCCAATTCAACTAGTAAAATTAAAGCATTGGAAATTAAAGAGAAAGAACGTGTAGTGAAACAAAAGTATGCATAATTATATATGGCAAGAAGATTAGTGGGATTTAATCAAAAGTCCAGAACATGTGCAGTAAAATTTTTTTTTTTATTGAAATAATTCAAGGTTACTGGAAATTAAAAAACGAAAACGTCGTGAAATTGATGCTAAATTAAAAGAACAAAAAAGTCGTAAAATAGCCAAACTTTCGGCTGTCCCTAACTCTAATAAAAAAGTGGATAATATTATGAAAAAAATAAAAGAGGAAGGATTACCGAAATTCTTGCCAACAGAATTATTAGAAGATTTCGTAAATGAAGATGATAAGACGAAAAGAAGGTTTTGAGAGCTTTGAATTTTTTACGATAAAGAATAGATATAACTAAATATTTATGTTCGTATTAGAAAACAAAGTGAACATACACAAATTAGGTTAGAAATGAGCAAAGTGAAACCACGAATTAAAAAAAGGAAAAAGAAGCAACATAATACTGGGTGGGTTATTGATTTTTGATTTTTCAAAGATAATTTTTTAAATTAACATTTTTATTATTCTATACAAAAAGTCCTTTCACCGTTGTTGCTTTACAAGATCCTGACCTTGATAGACCGATTCCAACTCCAAAAGAAATCATGGAATTTAAAGATGATCACTTTTATGGAGAAAGATTACCCAGGAAAAATGGTAATTTTGCATATTTTTTGTTTATGTAAATTAGAAGAAAATATTTACTATCGTCATAACTTATTTAATTAGCTATATTGAACGCGAGTCAGGGAATAAAAGGTGCAGCCATTAGGTTTTGTCGAAAATAATCATTTATTTCAACCAATTTTTTGGAATATTTATTTCACTATCCGCTTTATTAAAATGTGAGAACTCGCATGCTTCCCTATGTACATTATTATTATTATTATTATTAAGCAGAGAATATAATACAGTACATCAGAATCCAGCAATAACATCCTGACACCATGAGTTACTTTCAATTCTTTCTTGATATTTATTTCTAACTATAGAAATACGTTCTATTATTGATTGATAATCCATAGATTCAATGTTAGGAGTATTTGCTATTTCTTTCATGAATTCTTCGATAATAGTGCTTCCTTCCTATAGATATAATAATGATCACAATTATTTTGATGGTATTTATAGAATATTTATTAGAATCTTTAGTATTATTACCTCGATTTCTTCTTTAGAAAACGTAGTTTTACCATCAATTTCCATCGTGTTTTCATCTATTTAGAACAAATAATCAAATTTAATGACATATAGATTAAGCTAAATTAACACGATTAGAATAAACTTACGTTTAGTAACATCCTCCAATTGTTTCTCTTTTCTTCTCGCAAGCTATTTTTTTTTTAATTAAATAAATATTGTAAATATTGAAACCAAATATAACCGAAAATAAAAAGAGGAATTCTACCTTGACAACAGTATCGGGAAAATTTGCCAATTCTGCGACATGAATACCGAAACTCTCATCACAAATACCTAAATAGAATTCAGTAAGTATATTTCTTCGTTAAATAATAACTGTAATACTTCTATGCGGAAATTTCTTACCTTCTTTGACTTTGTACAATAATGTAATGTCTCGTCCACCTGAAGGGTTTACCCCAATATGTGCCGTAACATGTAAATTATATGCGTAAGGAACTTCTTCCGTTAATGCCGTCAATTCATGAAAATGCGTTGCAAACATACAAAAGCATCGAATTTTCTTCGAAATATATCTTTTTAATGAAAGTTAATTTAATAATTGCCCGGGTTGTTTTCTTTTTTTTAAAAAAAAAAAATTTCATAAAATGAACAAACTCTGAAATCGCCCAAGCTAAACCAAATCCATCATAAGTACTAGTTCCTCTTCCAAGCTCGTCGATAATTATCAAAGAATTGGTCGTTGCAGTCTATATATCAATTGTTGGAATTAAATATTACAAATAGAAGAATAAACTATATGACAAAACTAACCTTTATAATATTTGCTGTTTCCAACATTTCCGCCATAAATGTAGATACACCTTTAAGTTGGCTATCGCCAGCACCCACTCTTGCAAGGATACAATCAAATACACAAAGACTTGCTTCTGTACAAGGAACAAAACAGCCAGTCTGTGCCATCAAAGCAATAACACCAATCTATATTGAAAGCAGTTTAATTAATAATAGTTAAAACATTAGAAATGATTATTACTATTTTTAATTACTTGTCGGATATAGGTTGATTTTCCCCCCATATTTGGCCCAGTGATAATTAATAATTCTTTTTGATCTATAATAAAATTCAAAATTAAAATTACAAAACCGACGATGTAAAATAAAAATAAATATCCACTTACCTCTTATTAAGCTAACATCGTTTGGTATAAACGAAACGTCATCTTGCACCTCTATACAAGGATGGCGAGCATTTTTCAAGACAACGTTTCCTTCCCCTATATTAATAAAGTCAGATAAATATCCAAAAATTACAGAGATTTCGGGAGTTTGTACAGTAAAATGTTACCTTTATTATACATCTTGGGGCGAATGTATGGTACGGGTGCGTGAACCGCAACATGTGCAAAACTATTGTATAAGTAAGTAAATATGCGTAACAATAATTTTTCAATTCACACATCGTTTCATACCTAAGTATAACATCAAGGTGAGCCATTAATCCATTCAAAGTTTCCAAAGCAGGACAATAGGATGCTATAAAAACACAGCTTTTTTATTAATTTACTATATTCATAAATATTTTTTTTTAAGAAAAAAGAATTGTTTACCTGCTATCTCAATTACTTCCTTAACCAATGTATTTTGCTCTTTCTCATATAATCCTAAATTATCATGAAACGATGTACTCAATTGTCTCAATTTATCTGTTGTAAAGTAAACACCACCACGCTGTGTAGAAAGTTCATGATACTGTTTTTTCCCACGAATACAAGTTGCATCCTTTTTTTTCCATAAGAAAGGAAATTATAAATTAACTAAAGCAAAGTTTTAAGTACAATTATACAGAAACTCCTCATTATAAATACATTTCGAGTAATTCTGAAACAATATCCATAAACGTTTTGTTTCTCAAGATGCAATTTTTTATCCGTATCCATGCAAAGATCTTCTCCGACCTTAATATAGTACAAATCAGAATATTTAACAGTATTTTCAGTACGTGAAGTAAAATATAAAGAAATATTCACCTTCTCATGCTCTTCGTTAATTTTTTCTTTGATCCCATCAATTTTATTCTGAATTTCTTAAAAAAAGAAAATATTATTAAACATCTACAATTTATCAATACATACATTTATTTTATTAATACGAACACATACGTTTTAACTCTGAATTAAAATCAGCTTTAATCATAAATTGATGATAATCTGCAGCTTCTAAATCAATTGTGGTTTCAACCATTTCTTGATATTTCTCAAGTTCACTGTAATGTTCCTACATACAAATGTTGAAATTAATACCAATAAAAAATATTTATTCGTTTTAAAAAACGAATATTTACTTTGAGTTTAGCATTATATATTTCCTCGATAAGTTCTTTGCTAGAGTCATTCATAGAATCAAATAATTCTAGAGCTTCAATTAACTTGGGCAACTTTATTATTACTTGATAGACTCGTATAACGTCCTAAGAGTAAATTCATAAGTTAGTTATTAAGTCAAGAAAAATTATTGAGACGAACAAACCTGTAACGATGCTATTCTCTTTTGGAATCGTTTCGATAAGCGATGAAGATCAGGTATACTCTTCAAATGTTCCTCCTAAATAAATAAATTTTTACGGTTTAAATTACTCGTTGTTTTTATCTATACCTATTTAAAGTTAACATACGCGTAAAGATAACCTAAGTTCCGTATCTTCCGCAAAGATTTCTACCAATGAATGTCTTAATTCTGTAAGAATAAAAATAATTAAGTTAAATGCAAACAAGCAAATAAATAAACAAACAAAATAAAAAATAAATGATCATATTCATACCTATCTCTTTGATATCCATCAATGGTTGTTTCAGCCATTGGCATAATAATCTAGAACCCTGAGCAGTCTTACATTTATTTAAAAGACCAAACAAACTAGAATTCTTATTGGAGCCTAAAAATTTATTAATAATTAATCAATTAAGAAAAGAAAAGAGAAACTAAAATACGTGAATACCTTCTTGTGGACTTTGCATTAAATTCAATGCCCTTAATGCTGAAGCATCTAATTTCATATATTGTGACAAATCATGATGTCTCAGAATATAATGACCAAAATTACTATCATCAGTCATGAGCTTTAAATTAAAAGGAAAATCATAATAAAATGTTGTTAATTACTAAATTATAAAATTCGAAATAAGTGAAATAAGTTATTTCACAAATTACCGATAGGTATTTAATGAGACTTGCGCAAGCAGTCATAGCATGCTTCATTTCAAATTCAGCTGAATAAGAACAAATTAAATCAAATCATTACTAAGTTATAAATAGAATTTTCATACAAAAAAAAAAGTGAAACTAACGAAGAGTCGCGGCAGATACATCATCACCCAACAAACGGTTAAGATCTTGTTCAATATTCTTGATTGTAAAATCGCCTGGCAATAAATGAAAATAAGTATTCTATGAGTTATATAATAAACGAAAGTTCTCAATTGGAAATGTCTTAAATATAATTACTTTTTTTGCGTTCAGTGATAACAATGTCAAATTTTTCAATGATATCCCTTAATTTCGATAAATCATAATCTTTACGTGACTCATCTGCTGGAATAACACATTCTTTCACTCCGAGTTGAGCAAGTAAAGACTAAAACATTAATTTAAAATACACTATTAAAATATGAAAAGAAAAAAAGAATTGTGTTTCATAAGAATTAAATGGTATACCTCAAAATTTGAAAATAATTCATTATCAATAAATTCTGATACGCCTAATTCTCTTATTGTTGTATCAGCAAATGAAACTCCAACCATTCTTTGATCACCTCGTATTCCCAATTTAACTGATAATACTATAGGTGAGGCTGAAATTTCAACGTTAGAAAACAAATGATCTTCAAATGCCTGGATGTTTCCTGGAGAAGCCTATATTAAAAATTTATTCGTTTTAATTAATGATCTAGAAATGATATATGATAAAAAAAATGATAAAATAATCGATCGTACATTTTTGACTAATTTCCATAAACCCTTTGATCCTTGAGCCCAAATTTCAATTTTCAATTGTTTATTTAATAATGCATCACGTAAAAATGTGTCACATGTTAAACGTGATAATGTACAACTGGGGACTTTATTTTTACCTATATTGATGTTAATAAAAAAATCAATTTTTTTTCAAAGTAAACTGATTGCATAATGATTGCACATACCCAAATATCTAATCACAGAGGAAGTATTATAGATATTTTGTGCAATATATAAAGCATCATCTTCATGGACACTATAATAATCCTATATTTATATTAAAAAATATATATATATATTATATGAAAATATTTCACAAAAAGATTTATTTGTAATAAATCATAGACAACCAACCCCATTACTTCTCTCAAATAATCGGATAGTATTACTCGATTTCTATTATTAAATGGATTAATTAATTTGATTATTCGATTTTATGACTAATCTATACTTCTAAAATTTGATAAACCGATATATAACCTGCGGAAGTCCATTTATAAAAGCAAAAAAACCTTGCTCGCCTTGCTTGCTTTCTGTATAAAAAAAAACACGATAAATTGCAAGACAACAAGTAAGAATGATATGCTTCTATCTTTTTTGATGATACAATATTTGAATATAAAATATATGTTTCCACTATTAAAAAACATTTCATTACTAACCAAACGTCAAATCTGGTCTATCTTTTATTGGATTTGCCATATTTTTATTAAACTGATAAAACACAAAAGACATAATATTTTTAGATGAACGGATATTTGCTATGAAAAAGAGAGATCAAAGTTTACGCGTAGAAAGAAAGTTAACATGACGCGTTAAGTGATTGACAGATTGATTTAATCTTCTGCGCATTGGTACAATTCAAGTATTTTGTGTAACGTATAAGTTGAATATCGGAATTCCAACCATCTCATTCAATGTTAAAATAATCATTAAACAAGAAACTTAGATATTCCAAGTTATACTCTACATGCGGAGCTCACGTGATCTTTAGGAATTTCAAAGATACATGAAATTGACTCAATGATTGTAGAGACGAAGAAAAGGAATGTTATTTCCAAAAAATTTATTGACCTGGTTGTATTATGGGATAAAGCTGCGGAATGAATTATGTTTTAAGATCGATCACGTGGTTTATTTCCGCTAGAATTTTTTTGGATCGCGTCACAAAACGAGCTAAATGACCAGCATTAGACATAATTTGCTAACCCCTGGTCCCTAATGTCGATTCAACGTGACATTTTTTTGCTGCAAATACGCAGATATGATTTTGAAAATCGGTAGTACAACTTTCCATAATCGACAAAAACGTCAGTAACTTTAACCCAAAAATGGGAAAAATACATCCAAAATTTTTATATAAATTAAACTTTAATGCTTAAATAATTTATGGACAACTGATCCTTTCAAATCCACCAATTTTTTTTTCTCCCTTGTTTTTTTTAGCCTTCACTTACTTCCCTTGTAAAAAAAACGTTTTTTTCTTTCGCGGTATTAGGACCAAATCACTCATCGATTTTTTTCAGTTATTCTTCTTTGGAGTCATCAACTTTAAAAGATAGTTTATAAACATGGTAGGTTACTTTTAACGTATTTTTTTTTTGTCACGTGAGCAAGTCGTTCTTCGTGGTTCATGTTTTGCTTTTGTTCGTATATATAAAGTATATTTTTGATGTTTCTTTATTTTTTTAAAATACTTTCTCTATATACTTTGATAAAAACCGCGTTTTTTTATTAAATATTCAGTTACTTCTTAAATGTAAAAAAAAAACTCATCTTTAGTCGCGTTGGTTTTTTTTCTTTCCTAGCTTTGTATTGTTTATTTTAACCAAATATGTAAATAAATCAGTTAACAAAATAAAATAATAAAAATTACTTCTAATAATAAACTCTTATTACTTTTTCACAAATAAGGCTACTGGTACTAAAGCACCTTTTGGCGCACCAACTGCTGAAAATGGTGCTTCTGGAAATACTGGAACCGCTGGAAACGCAGAAAACTCTAACCACCAACAAAAAGCTGAGAGACCTCCTGTCGTGTCCAGGTCACAGAGGGCCGGCTTGCAGGTAAAAAATTTATATTTATTTAGATTATATTTTTTTTTGTAAACTATAACATAATAATTCCGTTCAAATTTTACATAATGACTATTGCTGCGCCACAATGATCTAACTCAAAATGTTTATAATAGTTTCCTGTTGGTCGTGTTCATCGTTATTTGAAAAAAAGAACTTTAAATAATGCCAGAGTCGGTGCCAAAGCAGGAGTCTATTTAGCAGCTATTTTAGAATATCTTACAGCTGAAGTACTTGAACTGGCAGGAAATGCTTCAAAGGATCTCAAAGTGAAAAGAATTACACCTCGTCATTTACAGCTTGCAATTCGAGGTGATGAAGAACTTGACACGCTGATTCGAGCTACAATTGCCGGTGGCGGTGTATTGCCGGTAAGCTTATGATTTTTAATATTCTAGGAAGCTTTTTAACATCCTATGTTAACCCTTTCCTTTTCTTTCTTTCCAGCATATTCATAAAAATCTTCTTAATAAATCAAATCAAAAGTCAAAAAAGTCATCGTAAATCATTAAAGATAGTATATGCTACAGGATCCAGAATGTAAATATTTTGCCCTCTTGAACTACCCTATCTTGTTTAATATAATTAATACGTTAATTTCGTAACCACTTTCTAGTATTAGGTAGTTGATCGGAATATTAGACAGAAAGTTAATAAATCCTCGGATGCGGTTAACGTTGAAATTGCACTTTATTGCTATTCTTTTAATATTTTGTCTATTATAATGTTTTTGCAATAAGTGCTTACGATCCCCGTATTATGGATTTCTTTTTTTTTCATTAAAGAAATAAATAAATACAAAATATCATTTTGTATTTTCTTTTTTTTTTTTAAGGGTAAAAAAAAAAAATTTCTATGAAATTAAAATTCGAGATAAGAGGAGGAAAGTGAAATTTAATTTGTATTTAATTTCCAATTTCATTCCGATAAAAAAAAATTATTTTTTAACAAATATAAATAAATTGTTTAGTTGACTGATCTACAGAAATTTTGTTATATTTATTAATATTTTTAATTTAACTAAGAAACTACAAAGGGAAAAAACAATGACATTACAAAAGCCAAACCAATCTATCCTGTAATAATTTCTATTATGATTTTGCAATTTTGATTTGGAATGAACCTATAAAGATGAAAATTCAAAATTAGTAATTTCTAAAAAAAAAAAAAAAATCCAATCTAAATAAATTACATTGTGGTAAAGAGTTTGTTTCTGCAATGACTACGCTGACAACACCCAAATTAGCCAAAGCTCCTCTAATTAATCCACATGGAAACCAAAGATACTATAAAAAAATGAATAAATTTAACATATTGAATTAATAAATAAAATAAAAAATTTTTATGTTACCGGAACTGCTTTCTTAGCCGCAGCTTCGCTACCAGATTCAGTTGACATTCTAAGGAACCATCTAAAACCATTATCTTGAAGTACATAAACTCCCTAAATAAAAGGATTTTATAAATTTAAAATAAACAAATATAAATGGATATATCAAAAGGCTCTTACTCTATGATTGGTTTTCAAGTTATCGATTTGTTTTTTAAAAATTATAGACCATAGATCCTTACAGATAAATTTTACAACATCGAGTGTATCAACGAATCTAGGACGATCTCTAGTAAACCTATTATACAAAAATAAATCAACACAAAAATTTAAATTATATATATATTAATTTATTCGCTTTACCTTTCAACTAAACTTTGTCCAACTTGATAACCCAACATTTCTAATTTATAATAAACGGCTTCTTTATCATTTTCTGAATCGACAGTAGTTCTATACATTAAATCTACCATTTCCATAATAAGAAACTCTAAACAACTTTCATTAACATGTGTAGGTCTTAAATTAACACCTATATTTCCACCAACAGAGCCTCCTCCTATATTTGAGGTTGAACTTTGTACTTCATCTCCTGAGGCTAATGAAGTGAAAAATGGTGTTATGGCTGAGGAGGCTGTTTGAAGTACAGACATTTCTATTTATGATTTTTTTTTATTTTCAAGAAAAAACTTTAATTTGATTGTAAATATATTGAACGTGATAAATGAGACCTGACAATGCGTAAAAAAAATTCAGTGAAGCGAAAAATTTTGAAATCCGAAAACCAGTGATAAATGTGTATAATGTAGTACAGATACTAATTTGTATTAGTTAAATCACGTGAATTAAATTATTAAATTTTATTATCAGTTATGAAGTAATTGATTTTAAAAGTACTGGAACCGGAATATTCCAATATTCCAATTGGCGTATGATTGTTTGATAAAAATTTATAACGTATGAAGATAATATGTTTTTAGTAGAAATTATTGCTTTGATTATAAACTGATATTCCTCAGACAATGAGTCTACTTGTCGGTTTGTAGTGTTTTTCGTGGTTGAAGATTCGTGAGATTTTGTGTCGGTTTCGATCTAAAAATGTTTTATTTTTTTTAGTTCTAAAACTTTTTAAAGAAAAAAAAAATTTTAAATAGATACGAACCTCAACTTTAGATGACTCTTCATTATTTATCTGCTTATCATTACCGCGTATACTTTCTTGATAAACATGTCTGAAATGTTCAATAGCACTCAAACTTTCTGAAACTCGATTAAACGTATTGAAAAGCGCGACAATTTCTGTACGCGTCAATAGGTTGGGGTTTACTTTTGGACTATAGTAAAATAAAATTATATTAGAATTACATTTATTATTGTCGACATTTTGATGTTAAAAAAATTTACTTTAAATACTCGTCATCATAAGAAAATAGAACTTTCAAAGCTGTTCCAAGTCCAGAAATCTGTAATTTACCCCATAATCGACATTTGTCGCATCCAACACAATCCATTATACGTGACACATTTCTAAATCTGGCTTTGAATTCCTCTTTTAATAATCGTGATTCAGGGGAAGCAAACATTTGTTTTTCATCAAATGTTTCTGGACATGACCTCGCCACGTTTAAAAGTTCGCTAACCATTGCCTTAACCTGTAAATCTTGATTCTTGTCTCCGGTACAGAATTCATAACCATTGAGGTAATCTGCTGCTTTTGATATAGCTCTTAGAAGGACAATATAATTAAAGTATACATTTTGAAGACGTTCGGGATGTGAGGCAACACGAGTGATGAAACATTCAAGATTTGGTCCCTATATAAGAAAAAAATCGTCAATAAAGAAATGTAAATCATAAATATAAATAACATTCTAAATATTTACCCATTGACCAGTGGTTTGATTTAAATATTCATTACAAATATGAATTGATATTGAAGAATGTAACCCTAAATAAAGTATTTAGGATTTGAATAAGTTATAGCGACCCTATTTCTAGAGAACCGCAGTTATGTACATAAATAACGTACCGGATATTAAACGATAATATACTCGCTTTTCGAAACAAATTTCTTCATTATCGGTCGGGTCACTTCTTCGTGCTACATTCTGAAGAATATTACCTAGCTGCTTACCCGTCGAAGATGAAGCGAAATGATTATTGTTGAACTGATTATTGTTTATAGGAGGAATAATATTAAAACAATTTTCTTCATAAATAGATTTCCATACGCGGCTAGCTGACGCTCCAGCGTAACCGGTAAACCGTTCAGGGTTATCAAGAAGATTAACAAACACACCCTCTATAAATTATTGAAAATTATATTTATTTCACCCTGAATTATGCAATAGGAATTAAATTTACTTTGATATTAACACTTACCAGAATCCGATTCGTCTTCAACAACACAGAAATCTTGGTCAGTGTATTCACATTTTTTAAATGGTTGGAAAAACTAAAATAAAGTTTTTTTATTGAAACAAGAAAAATAAATAAAAAATAATAGAATACAATTACACTTACTGTACCGGCTTGTGAAGTTTGTAACGCGCCGAGAACATCACTCCGCCACATTTCGGGTACATTGGACTGTTATTAATGCAATACGCATAAATTTAATCAGGTTGATCAACGAAAAAAATGAGAAATAATACATAAATTTTATACCTCATCTGTTGTTTCAACTGCACATGCTTGATTTACACACATCCCATACTCTTTCCAAAACGGACACTCTTTATATAATTTTAACTATCACCATAAAATTTGTTAATAATAATCCTTACTGAATATAACCGGTTGTAATTTTGCTAACCTTGTAATATTTAAAAAATTTTGTCTTAGACAGTTCGCGTAATCGTGGAGTTAAATCATTATTTATTTTTTCTACCGTCTCGAAATCGCAGCAAGCATCACTTATCATACCTGAAGGCTAAAAAAATTTGATAAAATGATTAATTATGTTCCAAAATTTTAACAACCGGGGCTCGTTTATTTTCTTGATACTAACAATGCAATAATTTTGATCAGTTTTGTCCAGCAAAATTTCCACTCGCGATTGCTCTAAAGGCGTTTTTAAAGCTAGGATAGAATCTCGTATTGAAAATAACAAAGGGGATCCTATTGAAAATAATAGAAGTAGAATGAATTGCGAACTTCGCATATTTGTAAAAAGGAAAAAATGTATATAATGATATATTAAGTGTGTGAAATGATTAAAATGCTAAAAGAAAGATGCTAGAGTTGGACTTAGACCTTTAGAACATATTTATAGTTTTATAAAAATGGAAAATCCTCATTTAAATAATCACCAGTTTTTAATATCATGCTATATTATTAATATATTGTATGTCAATTAATGATTGGTTGCACGAAAAATGACGAGATGTTACTTATTTGTGAAACTGTCAATCACCTGCCTTGATAATCGAAAAACTGTCCATAAATGTTGGGAAACGAACAGTTTAATCTGCAGTGAAATTCTGTAAATATGGATGAGAAACCTTCGATTTCTAAAAATTCCTTGTTTGATATCTTTAAAAATAACAACGAAGCTGCTTTACGATCTCCAACTCCTAGTCATTTACTAAATCGATCTGGGAATTCTGCTTTCAAGACTCCTCCATTTGGGTCAACACCGGTCAATTATAATAATATTCCTTTGCATCTGGGGAACGAACATTTGTTTTTAAGTCAACAATTTCATAACACATCAGCTAATGATTATGATCCAGAAGAAAATTTTCCCTCTTTTTCCTCTTCTGTGTCTACCTCGACTATCTTGTCTAATTTATCTCCGTCGTCAATATACTCGCCTCATTCGCAAAATCTAGGGCATGGTTTTGCAGAGGCTACTATTATACCAGGAAATAGCTTGCAGAACCCACTTAGTTTTAGTAGCTTTCAGCCTAACTTATCATCTATTACCGGAACTTTCTTAGGAAGTTCATATGGAAGGATGGAAAACCAACCAAAACATCCAATTAGACCATTTCCTGTGCGAGGGGTTTCTCCGCAGTTACATTATACACGTGGCTCGTTTTCAAAAGATTTTAAACCTTCTAGTATAGTATTATCTTTAAATGACAATAATGACAATGACAATATTAACAATGATAGCATCAGTAACATTGATAATACATCATTAGTTAATGATAATAGTAATTCACCACGTCAAGATGAAGAGATTAAAATGGTTTCTCTCGATAATGAAGATCTCGAATCAATAAGTTATCAATATGACTTTGAAATATTTGATAAGAGCAAACAAGTAATACAAGAAAGTCAAAGCAATCAAATAGAACCTTCCGAAGATGACAAATGTTTAGAGCTCGTCAAATGGCATCTAAAAATCATATCTATTAAAGATATACCTGTTTCGGAGGTATGTTTTACATATTTTAATCCGTCATTAATAACGAATGCAGAATATTTTGACAATTTCTATTTTATATTAGATACCAGAGGGAATTATACCGGAGGGAACTGACTTTTGGATGATCCTGTCGGGTATCGTAAATGGAACACGTGATGTAAGAATTCGATCACGTAGAAAAGTTATGATTTGATTATAACTAATTTTGTATCTTATTTTAGAAATGGCACAGTGGTGCAGTAATTGCAAGAGAACATAATAGGCGTGTGCAAACTGCGAAAGACAAATCATATATACTAATTGGGAAATTATCAGCTAAAAAAATGAAAGCAGATGGTAAATATTTGATGCGCCTATAGTTACAGTTGGAATTATGCTGTATTGCCGTAAACTATAAAAAACTATAAATTTTTACGAATACGGCGTTACTATATATATACGACATATATATATGTATAATTGCTGTAATATAATTTCCACAGTAACTATATATACTTGAAAGAAATAATATTATGTTGAATGATTCTAAAAAATAATAATGTATTTCTGAAATAGGTTTTTCTGAAGGATTGATTAAAGCGTTTGAGGATGGATTTCCGGAGAATTGGCGAGAACTATTACTTGCTGATTTAAAATCCTTGAATGACGAAATAAGTCTTTCTTTTAAGGAAAGATGTAATCTTCGTGAGGAAAATTCGTCTCGTGAAAAACGTAGTAATTCTGAGGAAGAAAGTGCCCCTCAAAAGGAGAGTAGTAGAATTTGTGAAGAACAAAACGAAGTAGGCCCACTTCTTGAGGAAAATGTTTCTCACGTTGAAACTCCAGAGAAAAAAATTACTCCACGTCTAGAAAATAAAAGTTCTAGTAAAAGACGGTTTAAAACACCTGACCAAAAACAAAGAAGTATTGTAACATCATCTGGTCGTCTCATACGAGCCCCCGGTAACTGGTGGGAAATCAAACCCGTTAAGCCCGAACCAAACGTGAAGGAAGAACCTAAACGACGAAGATTCTCAAAACGCATTCTATTGTCAACTGAAAAGAATACACCCCCACCATCATCATCATCCACTACCGAAGAACATACCCCAACGTCAAAAACTGGTAAATGTGTATTATTCATTAAATTATAAAGTGTAATTAATTAATTAAAATTTACTTTATTATCAGAAGCGAAAAAAAGGAACCGGAAACAATTTTATAGAGGGACTCGAAAGCGACGTGCTTCACGGAAGGGCAATACAACTGGAAATAAGATGGAAGCTTTTCATGAAGAGAAGTCAGATAAAGTAAATGCTGAAAAAACTACGGGTAAAAACCAATTTTCCCAATTAGCGATTAACAAACACATTATATATTAACTACTATTTATAATTATGTAGTTGACATGCCACGCCACGAGGTTTACGTTCTTGTTGAAACTGGTAAATCTAAATAGAAGATTTGCTATTATACAGGATTTTCTTATATCAAATAAAATTTGTACATTTTATCGTAATCATTCATGATCATTCGTAATAATTTGTAGTCAGCTTTAATGCATATACTTTAAGTCACATGACTAAAATTTCAATAGCTATTAAATGTTGATCAGTGTTTTTTACGCAAAATCAGGGGAATGATATAAAATATGAGAAAAAAATTTTGATCGTGACATGTGAAAACCGTTTTACTAAAAGGTATAAATAAAAATATAACTTCCCTCTACCAAAAAAAAAAAAATCCTTTTATTATTACATTACTAACGTTCTTTACTTTATAAACTTACATATTCATAATCATGGATTTAAGCCAATCAGCCCAAATTCTTCCTGGTAAAAATTTTGTTGAAATTCGGAAATCATCGAAATAAAACTAATATCCTTTTGATTTATTTTTTTAGCACTTGTTGCAGACCTTCTATCTTATGAAGAAGAAAAGTATAATCATGTTTTGAAAACATATTTTACCGAAGACGCAGTTTTGACCCACCCAATTTTGAATGTTCAGGGAAGAGAGAACATTCGTAAAGTTTTTCGTGTTTGGACGTCACTTAATAAGCAACCGCCTGAAATGACAAACAAAGATCATTTGGTTTTCAAGTGAGTGTTTGTAGCTATATCAATTACCGTGATTTTATTAAAATAATATATCTATATTTTATTTTTAGTGGTATTACCGCTGTTATAAATGTAAACCAACTTTTGTGTCCTCGAATTTTTCCATTTCTTCATTTTGCTGTACCTTCTGTAACAGTCTTAAGATTCCGTGAAGGAGACGATGGATTATTTTATATATATAAACAGGAAGATAATTGGACTCTCGAAGGACTTATTAGAAGTGTTCCATTGATTAATTGGTGGTATGAAAATGTAGTTCGTGCTATGTTCGGAAATATGGTTACAAATATGGGATCATTTCTTGCTACTGCAAATATAGCCACTTCTCAATTAACTATCGCTGCTAATCATATTAATCAACATGGTGGTGATGCTGTAGTTAAAGGCCAACATCGCGCATATAAATATGGAAGCGATATGGCCAGTAATGTTACTTCAGTATTTAGTAGAACAATTGGAATTAATTTTGGAACTAAAGGTTCTGACCATCAACATTATATAACCAATGGTGAAGCTTCACTTGAAACTTCTTAGAAATATGTTTTATTATGCAACTATAAATTAATTATAAGTATTTATGTTTTTTACGTTTTATCAAATTTTGATATAATAACAAACATTGCTTTTTTTTTGAACGACATATTTTACTACAATAGTAAATAAAAAAAATCATTTAATATAAGCCTTTACTCATAATTCTTCTTCACTACATAATAAATATTCCTCAATATGTTTTCTCATCTGTTTTCTATTAATTTTTTTCTTTCTTTCTTCAACTCCTTCAGCAACATAAGGAGGTAGGATAATTTTTTTGTTGGTTATTTTAATATCACGTATATCCACACGGCATGCATAACATAATGAATCTGCAAACTCAGCATTTACCATGGATTCATCATTGCTGGTATCGTTACAACCGTTAATACAGCCACCTGAAGTTGTGTTCTTTGAACAATTTAGTTGTATATCATTACATCCATTAGATTGTTGTGATGAAGGAATTGTCATTACTATAATTCTATTTTGCCATATTTTATTATTTTCTTGGTATGGCCTATAAACAAAATATAGGTTAAAGAAATTAAAAAAAAATTCAATCCTTACGAATGACTAAATCACGTACATTAAACAAATTACACAACGATTTTCTTTCATAATAGAATCTGATGGCGTAAGTTTTGCCCCAGTTCTCGCTATCGTACTAACAGTTGATGGAAATTCTTTTTCTAATCCCACAATGAAATCTGTAAGAATATTAGAAGAAAAAATAAATTCAATAATCGATAAGAAGCATTCTTGATAAAAAGTAATGTTAAATTCCGTAAGCTGATCTCAGTATCTACTATAAAAACTTACCTTCAGTTAGTCTCTCGATACTGGCTTTAGCGTGCATCATACTTGTTACATTTTGAACATAAACATCATCTAGCCCGGCAAATTGATTGTATATTCCAATTTCTTTTGATAGCATGTCTTTCATTGGTCTCGTAATTATTACATCTATCAAATTTATTAATATGTAACTTATTATTAAATTATTATGCTCACTGGACTTCCAATTTTTCCAATTTTAATAAAAAGCTACATATATTATATATGTAAAATAGTGCATATTGAATATTGAAAGAAAGGATTGGAAGATCTAATCCCAATAAAAGTCATTAAAAGCTTTCAAGAACATCACCGATTATACCTTCAAACCAATTTGTTTCACCAGAAGTCTCTAAAGGTAAGCTAAATCCACGTCCTTTACTTGTCAATGAAATTATTTTTATCGATAATCTTGTTGAACAATCTCCCAAAAATAATCTCGTGCATCTACAATAAAATAAAGGTTAATTTAAAGTATTAAATATGTAGTAAGACAATTAAAATTCTTATATTTTACCCATTTTTTCTTGCAGTATCAATTAAATAGCATAGTTTCAAATACCATATAAAATCTTCTTTTACGGTTAAATTCGAAATATTATTTAACAAATTTGATAATTTCTCAGCGGGAGATTCAGTAGGATCTTTCTGTTGTGAAATTTTAGCATCAATTTCTATTTCAATAACACTATTATAAAATCCACTTTTAGTAACATCAGAATTATATATGTCTTGTAAATATAATCCTATAAACGGATAATTATATTTTCGTACGGATTGTTCTATCAGTGGTATTGTACTTTTCTAATATAAAAAAAATTGATGAGTTTGACTAAAGAGAGAAATTCGAAAATTCAAGTTTTATTATTTACTACACCTGATTAAGCAATAAGCTTTCATCAATATGACAAACAACAATTTCAGAATATACCCGCTTATGTGGAATTGCTTCATTATATTCATTTATTAATTGTAACATTGCCCTAACAACGAACGTCATAAGAAAGTTTTGAACCCACGGATCAATTATCCGATTCGAAAACGGTTTTATTAAAAAGTGACAAAAACCTTGAAGAAGGACCACCCGAAAATCCAACCATTATTTTTTCTCCACTACCATAACTAGATGCAGTACGAGATTTTTCTACATTTTTTCGGAATTTACCAACAAATACATGTTGAAAACATTTCCTTTGATTAATAAAGAGGCAAGGCTAATTGTTAATTTTAATATTATTTAATGTAAATAATGCAAAAATTATTGTATATTTACTTGCAATATGTAGAATGTCGAATTAGTATTATTGCTTTTGCCGTTTTACATTTAACACAGTTCTTTGTAGTCGGTTTGAATTTTACTGATTTTTAAAACCAAATAAATTCTTAGAAAAAAAAAAATCTTTTTTTGAAAAAAAAAAGACAAACCATTGAGGTCCAACGAAGTTTCCTCTTGAATACTGCACATTTCAAAAATAAAAAAAATTTTTAAAATTTTTAATTATAAATACACGTGGAGTTACACAACATTTACGATATATGATTATGGTTTATGATGGAAGTTATGGTCTGGTTTAGTATATAGATGGGATTGATGAAATTGGAATTTAAAATTTTTAAATTTACTTCTTTAATCGATCTTATTCCTTTTATTTGATGTCAATATCGAAATAAAAGTTTTGAGATCAAGAGCAGTAGTTACTATGCAATCATGACCCATAAAGTCACGCTGTTTTATTGCGATTTATTTATTAGTTAGCTTGCGTGATTATGTGTATTAAAAAGCTAGCGTGCTGAATTTATATCAAAAAGTACATTCGTTTTTTATACAAAAAACATTAGAAAATGTAACTAAAATTTCTATTTTTCTTTTAATAAAAAAAAAGATATATATAAAATCATTTGTAGCGGATAACTTAAAATTTCTTTTGTTCTGTCATTAAAATCGATTATACCCTTCAAAAATTAATTTCAGCAATCTATGAATCAGAAATTTCACATTAAATTGTATATTTTTTGTGTATTGTATCCTCTATCATTTAAAGCTATATTTTCTGGTCTTAAGTTTTTTACATCACTATACAACTTAAAAAAGGAAGGAAAGGAAAATTAAAGCTAAAACAAAAATATACATGCCACAAAAAAAGCGGCAAAGAAAGGAATATACAGATTCACGAAAACCAGGAATTAAGTAAAGTAATTCCAAATAAAATTCGTGACAGATAAAAGTAAAAAGGAAAAAAAACAGATAAAAGAAATGGACTATGTTGAATTATTAAATTGCAATGACTTGCATTGCTTATTTTCCAAATGTTCCTATAAAATTTATTGAACTTGCTAAATCCAATCTATGGAGAAACAACACAAATAATGAAAAATGCAGGATCAAGAAAGCCAACTTTATGTTGATGATTCTAAATGGATTAAAAGTGATGTTAAGACCAGTAAGAAAATAAAAGGAAAAAGAAATATCCAATTGGAGTTAACGAAATATGGATTTACGCAACACCTAGCTCAATCCCAACCGAAATATATTTATATATGTACCATCCTGCTTTGCTTTTTTTTTTCCTTTGACACAATCTATCCTATCCTCGATGAATTATGGAAGGATGTGAGGAATGTGAAGGATGTGAAGGATGTGCATGTTCGAGGTGATATTTTAGTCCATTTGGATTCTTATATCGTTTTTCGCATTCAGGGTAACTACACCTATAGGGTTTAATAACCGGCTTCTTTTCCTCCGTGTCTGATAGAGCGGACCGATGTCCATGTTCAGTGTGATACTTTAGACCGTTTGGATTCTTATAAGACTTGATACAACCAGGTACTGTACATTTAAAGGGTTTGTCGTTTGCCTCTTGGGTAGCAGCCTTCGTGACGCGATGACTTTTCGCTTTGAGATGGTGGTGGTGAGACGCGATGACATGGTCATATTCTGGTGAGTAATAAGACAACTTGTGTCCAGTCGTCTCGTAAGCTTTATAACCGTTGCTTTTCATGCTGTTTGTAAAAGAAAGCTGGGTAAGATCTTGATGTGTATTTGGAGCCAAGGTGGTCTGAAAGTATTTAGATGGCTGACAGATAGATTGATCAATATTGTTTAGTTCCATGATAATAGAATTCCCTTAAACTTAGGCGTTAGGATTTTTTTTTTTTTTTTTTTTTTTTTTTTAAAAAAAAAAATTTTTTTTTTTTTTTTTTTTTTTTTTTTT